TTTTGAAAATTTACTCAATTTCTTTCTGTGTAACTACTTTTAGTTATTTTAGTTTAGTGAAAATTTTGTTAAGCTAAATTCAACTTAGTTACGTACATATTTTTTGTTAAATTACAACCATATTTTAGCTAAATAAATTCTCATAAAAAAGAATAAATTAATAATTTTAAAAAATTTCAAATTTTATTTAAAAACTTTTATATTGATGTTAGTGTCTTTTATTATGAATAGTTTATTTAATTTTTATTGAAAAATTATATTTTTTATTTCATTCATTTACTTAAATATGTTGTTTTGAACTCATCAAATATTTAAATATCAACTTCTAAAGGTTATAATAAACTATTTGCTAAAAATGATCAATAAATATTTAAAACATGTCATAGACTCCGTATTTTTTTCTTGTGTATTGTCATTTAATGTTAAAAAATAAAAAAACATTAGAATTAGAATGGATATGGGTCACAAAAATAATTTGGAATTGAGGGAGAGGATTTAATTTTTTTCGCTAAACGAAACTACTGCACAGAGAGAAGAATTACATTTTCAACCTTCAATGGCAATTGGATAAGAGTTGAGTTTGTAAATTAGATAAAATGTTCAAAAACCTTAAAACATAATTGTATTTGAAAAAGTTGTACCATTACGCTATTGAGAAATATTGATCAAATATTTGAATTGTGTAATAATATAAGATTGGTCATTGAAAAATTACGTAAGATCATCTTCGGCCTGAATGTAGTATAAGGACACAAAGTCTCGAAGAAGGTTTAAACACTCTAAGTAAATTATTTATCATTCGATACAAAGATTACCCTTGAGGGGTCAAAGAATTCAATTTCAATAGTTTATGTTTCGTTATGACTCTTAACGAAAGTAAACACCAAATATTGTCATTTATATGATTGTTTTTTACCAAGTCGGCACCGTATTAATTTACGATTAGTTTTATATTGTTGTTTCCCAAGTGACGGTAAAGGTAGGCTTAAAAGTATTTATTTTAATTGCATTTAATTTGGTGGTTTTAACACTTAACAAAAAATGTTGAATACCTCATATTTTTTCAAAAGGTTCTAATTCAAATAAGACTTTAACATTTTATTTTCAAATGTACATAGGAAAAGTTGTTTTCATTAGCAAATGTTATAGTACCTCTGACCTTGAGTATTTTTCTAGTTTTGACATTTTCAGTTAATCGTTTTCAACCTTTGACCTGTAATTACATAAAATATATATTGTATATTAATTAGATAAAATAATATTTTGAAAATGCTTCATATAATAAATCTAATAAATTTATTTTTGTATCAATATCTAATATCATTTTTTTTAGATTGAGGTAGAAGTTTACCAATTTTGATTGAAAAAAGTTAAAAATGGACAAATACTCAGGGACGGAAGGAGTATGTTTTATCATTATTTTAATTTTTAAGGCCAATGTTTTATTTTTTTGATTTTTAAAAAATGTTGTAGCAAATAAAAATTGTAAAGTTGAAAAAACAATCATTCCACCACATGTCATGGCACTGGTTAAAATACTAGTAATGACAATATAATTATTGAAATCATTCACTTAACTATTTTACTAAATAAATGCTCAATAGTAAAATCATTTTGTATATGTGCAAAATTGATTTTGAGTTACATGTTATTCATATATATTTAACAAAATTAATTCAAAGTTATAACATGGGTTAGAAAGTATGTCCAACACTAGAGGGGTGAATAACGTTGTAAGAAATGTTTAAAACTGTTTGCAAGATAATTAAAGCGTTGGAGGGATAGGAGCAAAAATAAAGTGGTGAAGGAAAAAAGAATAAACAAAGAACAAGAACAAACACACCAAAGATATTGGTTCACCACAACGTGTGGCAAAGCTGGTACCCGAGAGACTCTATCTCGAGATTTCCTCTACCACATTAATTAAGCTTAAAAGAAAAATGTTTAATCTCAATCCCTTGGGTCTCTCAAGTATCACTCCGAAAATAGGGTTAGAAGAGTTAAGTGAAGATAGTTGATAAGAAGTGTAGTATGTCTATGTGCAAGAATCTCATGCAAAACGTGGTCACTATTTATCGCCTTGCTAGGAGTCAAATTCGAGTTTATGCTCTGTCACTCGCATCTCAACCATCTAAGCTACGACACTCGGGCTATATTTTAGTGGGTAAATATTTACAGGGTCGGGTTCCCATGACATTGGAACACAATGTCATGGGATGACCCGGGGGTGCTCCGGTGCCCCGTTCGTAAAATTGACGGTTCCTACACCCAGTAAACGTCCCCACCCCGCCCCAACCCGAACACACCCCCTACCCCCGTCAATTGCACCTCACAAGTTGATTTTGACTTTGGAGTCAAATTTTGTCTCTAAAGTCAAAATAAACTTGTGGGGTGCAATTGACGGGGGTAGGGGGTGTGTTCGGGTCAGGACGAGGTGTGGGGGTTTACCGGAGGGATAAGAATTGTCAATTTTACAAACGGAGCACGGGAGCACCACAAGTCATCCCATGACATTGGGTTCCAATGTTATGGAAATCTTGGGATATTTACAATAGTCGATTCACTGTATTGTGCCCCAATAAAAGAAACCATTGGCCTCCACTTAGACATACGGATTAATACACCACTTGCCCCTACTTTGCTCATTTGATCATACTCAACTTGGGTTATGATTTTTAGAAAACTTTGAAACTAACGATACTTACAAAGCGGATCGGAGTCAAACTCCCATGACTCTGAAACTAATGAGAACTAATGAGGGTGATGTTTAACACCCTGAATGCGTTAAAAGAAGCTTAGGTCTCTTTCTAAATTCTTCTACTTTTTTCTAATTTCTTCTAAGTTTTCTAATTTTTTTTAGTTTCTTTCTGTTTTCTCAACTATTTTCATTTTCTTCAATCTTTTTTACTCACAAATAATGACTCTATTTTATTTTTCTTATATCATTGTTTTGTGATCACACTCAATCACTTATTATTATTTTTTCTTCTATTTTTAATATAAAAAATACGGAGTACAGTTTTATTGGAAAAGTTTTTTTTTTACATGACACTAAAATATGTTCCAAGAATTATAGATATTTTATTAGTCCAAATTAAATTAACCTGGGAAAAACATCTATATTTTAAATTAAAAAATAATAATTATACAACTCTCTATGTTCCTAATTAAGTGACATTTATATTATTTATGTGGTCAAAATTATTTATTCATTTTCTTTACCTAGTGTGAATATAATAATAATAATAATAATAATAATAATAATAATTTCTTGTTTTTTCCAGTTTCTTCCAACATCCCGCTCTTGACTCCAAGAATACGTACATGAATGGATGAGGTTAGTAGCGAAGTTTTTTCCCTTTTTTATTTATTTTTTTTGTCTTTTTTTTTTGTTTTGTTGGAGAAGTGAAGAGATAAATTCTGTAGACTGAAAATGTCGAAATGGAGCACCTTCAGAGTTCAGAGTCAAACATTGACCGTTGACTGTGAACAATACTGTAGGCAGCTGGAGTGACTAGTAACTACAGGTATCACCATTCAGAAATCTTAAATCTGTTTTTTTTGTCATTATTCCTCAAATAGTCTATTTCAAGTTTCTATTCTCACTATTTCTTTGATTTTGTAATACTCCATGTTTTTTAAAATTTGTCCAGTTATAACAACTATGAAGTTAATGATAAAAAGTGTACGTGTAGAATGCTTAACTTTCAATAAATGTATTAAATGAGTATTTAAAAAATATTAGAGTCACAAACAAAATGACTACAAAATTCCCGAAGTTATACTTTGAGAATAAATATTTTTATATTTTAGTTTAAGATTATTTTCTTCTTTTAACGAAATTTTTAATAAAGTAAGTTTTTAAATTTTGTGACTATTTTATTTGTTAATCATGCAATTTTTTAAGTATTTAGTAGAATTTCAATCAATTTAATATTTTATGGCTCCAAATTAACTTCGAACACTGGGTGATTTGGAAACATATATTTTCCATACCACCTGTCTAGAAATTAACGCCACTTTACAATTTGCAAGTGTGTTAATTTTTAATTTAATTTATTTTAAAATTAGTATAAGAATAAATATCGGAGTAAGTATTGTAAAAAAGTTTCAAAACGATAGGTGAGATGATTATATTTTTTTATTTAAGTTATCAATGAAAATGTGTAAGAATAAGATATAACCATAGTAAAATGAATTACCTCGAAATACATAAAATTTGAGAGGAAAAAAGAGCAAACGTTCCAAATTTTGGGCACTACACCTTAGGGGTAGATTAATCGAGATTATGCAGGATTTTATATGACTACGACTAAGCTGAGAGCAAACATTCCAATTTTTTTTAAACTCATCCTTACTTTTTATTTTAAAAATAGCCCTTAAATACAATTAAAACTTCTAGTTTATTAAAATAACACATTTATTTCGTACATAAGATTCTATTTTTTTACTCCCTCCGTCCCAAATTATAATGCTTCTTTACTATTCACAGGGTCAAACTTCACTCACTTTCTTTCTCTATTTTCGTTAGCAATTTGATAAAATAAAATATTATTGTCACTACTAGTTTTGTAGATCTTTTAATGTAGTTTTTTAATATGTAATTTTTATTTTTTAATTCTATACCATTTGTCATATAAAATGGTTTGAAAATAATTTCAATCAAACATCGTAAACCGAAACAGACGTTACAAAATGGGACGGAGGTAGTAGTTCTAATTACCACATACATAAATCCCCATACTTAAATTGTACTCGTATAGTACATGATGGTTATAAACCACCGAGAATGAAGAATAGTATAAGTTTTAGAGAGAGAGAATGCAAAGTAGGAGTTTATTCGTTCTAAACTTCGGTCCGTTACAATGAGAGGTCTCGCCCCTTTTATAGGGGATACATTACATATAGTCAAAGTTCTCTGATCGAGGCTCGTCGCCTAGCAGACGTCATCTCTGTCATGAGTTGTCCTTTTCATCCTATTGCTATCGCACAGTCAACGCGGCCAATCGCTATCCGCCGGTCGCCATCACGTAGGTCGCTGTCACGTAGGTCGCTGTCCCGTAGGTCGCTGTCCCGCCTCTAGCCGAGCCCATGAGGCGTGCCGAGCTCATAGGCCGAGCCGAGCTCATGGGTCGAACAGGGAGCTTCCACGTGGCTGTTGGGGTCCGGCTGACGTGTCCTTCGGAGCTATCCTCCATCACAAGCCCCCCACTGATGAGACACGAGAGAGTGTAGGTACTGTAGGAAAGCGGCGCGGGGGCCCACGTGGAAGAGGTTGGCAGGCCACTGGTGCCGTTTGGGCTTCCGCCATCATGAAGGGGCGCGCCTTTTCGCCTCCCTAGGCCAAGTGGCAGCCCATCGTTGCACCCATTCAACCCTTCCTCTATAAATATCAACCCCACCCCTTTCATTCCCCACTTTAGAGAGAGAAAGGGATTTCGTTTGCCGTCGCTAGCCTTCTCACCGTCGTTCTCGTCCACCTCCCGGCTTCGTACTAGGTTAGTCTCCCTCGTCCTTGTTCTTCCATGTCTTCCAATCCTCCATCTTTCGCCAGTCCGAGTCCGAGCGTGCTGCTGAAAGCTCTGTCGCCGGCCCCGCGCAGGAGAGCGACTCCCGCTCGCCCTTCGTCGAGGAGATAGCCGAGGCGGTCGAGGTCCCTCTTCAGTCCGAGCCTCGTAACCAGAGGCGGACCACTCTCGAGGACTCGGGGATCCGAGCGCAAAGGTGCACCCTTACTCGGGAGGAGTACCGCAAGGCGAAGCGCCTAGCCTCGGCGCCGGGCGTTACCGTGCGCCGTCCCACTTCCGAACAGTCAGTCTTTGATGCTCCTCCGGGTTGCTTTGCCATCCACCTCAAGTCCCTTGAGTACGGGTTCCGCTTCCCCCTCCATTAGTTAGTCATAGATTTTTTCCTCCACTTTGATTTTCTCCCTTGCCAAGTCGTGCCCAAATCCCACCGCTATTTGGCGGGATTTCTCATTCGTTGCCAAGGGATCGGGGTTCGCCCTGACCTGGCCCGTTTCTTGCTTCTCTTCCGGTTGGCGAAGTCGTCTGGCCGGGCGAACTCCGACTCGGGCTCGTATGCCTCAATATTCCAAAGACAGGAGAAGCTCTTCAAGACGAGAAAGGACTCCGCCAAGAGTTGGAAGGGGAAATTCGTCTTCGTTTCTCTTTCCTCGGGCTCCCCTTTTCGTAAAGAACCCCTCAGCTCCTTTCGTCGTCGCTCCGCGTGCGTCACCTCGGACAAGATGCTCGAGGACGTAGAGACGCTCTGCCGAGGGGGGCCCTTCGAAGTCGGTTCGATAGTTACGAACGATGCTTTAGCGGCACTCGGCTTCGTCTTCCTATCCCCGGATGATACTCAGCGGAGCATCGAAGAAGGCCCCTCAGGTCAGTGCAATCTCTCCTCCTCGGCCATCCGTGGGTCGCGACTACCTCGGATCAGTGCAATCTCTCCTCCTACTCAGCGTCGTTCTTTTGCGGCTAAGTCCTCGCCTCATCGTTTGTCTTCTTTTTTTTTTTTGGTTTGTGCAGGTGAAATCATGCTCTCCAGCGCCGAGCGACTGAAGCTCATGTTCTCGGATGCCCCTAGCGGCAACTCCCGGGCTCCTACCGTGGCTGGTCGTCCTCCGACTCCCCCCTGTGAAGCCAACCCACGAGGCGGCCCAGAAGAAGAAGAGAAAGGAGACGGCCTCGGCCAATGATACTCCCCAGGGGTCCGAATCCCCGATGATGAAGGATTTCGGTCACCCGAAATATGTCAAGGCGGCCTTCCTTGCAGGGGTCTCCTTTCTGGATCGGGATTACGACCCGGAGACCTTTCTGCGTAGCTTGACTCCTCTCACCGATCGCGCCAAAATCTAGGACGTCGACCGGGAAACTCTGGCCTCGGATATGTTTCACGAGATGGGCTCGGTAAGTTTCCCTAGCCATACTTTATAAATGCAACTCTTCTACGGCGCTCACCCCTTATCTATCTGCAGGCGATGATGCGCATGGTCGACATGAGCCAGCGGCTGCGCACTAGCGAGGCCGACCGGAGCAGGGCTTATGTTGAAATAGCTGACCTCAACGAGGCGCTAAAGGCGGCCAAGGAGCAAGCTCGCCAGGCCGAGGAGNTCGACCGGGAAACTCTGGCCTCGGATATGTTTCACGAGATGGGCTCGGTAAGTTTCCCTAGCCATACTTTATAAATGCAACTCTTCTACGGCGCTCACCCCTTATCTATCTGCAGGCGATGATGCGCATGGTCGACATGAGCCAGCGGCTGCGCACTAGCGAGGCCGACCGGAGCAGGGCTTATGTTGAAATAGCTGACCTCAACGAGGCGCTAAAGGCGGCCAAGGAGCAAGCTCGCCAGGCCGAGGAGCGGGCCCAGCAGCTCGCGGAGGAGGCTGCTCGCAAGGCGCGCCAGGAGGCTCGCGATCAGGCCGTCGCCGAGTTCCTAGCATCGGATGCGTTTCAGGAGGAAACCTTCGCTCGCATGAACGATCTGCTCAAGGCATGGGGGCAGACTCCTGAGGGGAAGGCATTCGCTCGCTCCGAAGGGACGTCGTGGTACAACCTCGGTTTGTTCCGAGCGCAGCAGGTCCTTACGGACAGGTTCCTCGCCGGGGAGGACTTCCCCGAACCATGCGACGGTCCTGATGAGCTCGACACCTCCATCTACTAAACGAATGGCGGGAACCCAGCCGGCGAGCAGCCGAATGCCGAGTGATATGACTTGGAGCTTTGTTGTATTTGATGTAATGGTGCTCAAAACTTCGTTGTGTTTTTTTTTCTTTTTTTTTGATTCGGATATGCTATGACTTGATGCTTTGTATGGATGTGCTATGACCTTATCTTTTGCCTTTAATTTTATGCCTTCGTCGTTTCTTTTAACTGGTGTGCTCGCCCATTCCCGTCTGACCTGAGCTCGGCCACGCCGAAGAGCAGATTCCTTGGGACTTGGTCCCTTTTCTGTCCCCTCGTTATCCGAGACAACCTTGGGTCTTGGGACCTTTTGACCTGCCGTCAGTTTGACCGTCCCCACGCTGCCACGTGTATCGTCCCCCCTAGGCAAGATGCCTATATAAGGGGGGGTCCCCATAATTTGTTTGCACTCACCCTTGGATTTCTGCAAATTTTGCCATGCCGCGCTCGGCACCCACTCCTCCCGACTCCAGTGAGATGCGAGGAGAGACGCTCTCTTTCGGCGGCTACTCCCTCGGGGGCTCTTCTGCTGTTCCGACCAAGTCGGGGCCGAGCTCGACACCGCCGCGCTCTCTGCGGGACTCTTGGGACTCGGACTCTGAATCCGAGTCGGTACCCCACGATCCTTCTGCCAAGATCCCAGGGTTCATCTACTATTCGTCGGAGGACGAGAAGACCCCATCTCCGCCAGTTCCGCCGATCCGTCGTGAGGTCGTCGCCCCTCCTGTTCCTGCCGGCCGCGGTGGGCGAGGCCGCCGCCATCCAGCTCCTCCCGCAGTGGTTCCGAGCGAGAGCTCTGTGGCATCCCATCATCCGAGCCGGTGCTTCCCCGAAGACCCAGGCTCGCCCAGCTATGACGAGTCCACCGGACACTCCGTCACCAGTCGGGCTCCTTCACCTTCTTACCCCCCACCCTGTACTTGCAAGCGGGGGTGGAATTGTGGCACGCACTGAAGTCTACCCGTACTTTTATTTGCATGTCGTTTAATTGTTGTAAGGCGCTTGTGCCATGTACTTGCCCGTTTTCCGGGATGAATAAAATTTGGATTTGATTAAGTCTTTTTCGCTTTTCGCCATTAGAAAGGACTGCACTCGGCTCTTCCCCCGAGGGGGGGAAGTGTCGAGCACGAGGGTTAGACCTCCGTCCGGGAAGAGCATCCGGACATGGTCTGCGTTCGGCTCTTCCCTTGAGGGGTAGCGCGGAACACACGGGTTAGGCCTTTGTCCAGGAAGAGCATCCGGACATGACCTGTGCTCGGCCCTTCTGGGAGACTCGAACACGAAGGTTAGACCTTCGTCCGGGAAGAGCGTCCGGACATGGTCTACGTTCGGCTCTTCCCTTGAGGGGTAGCGCCGAACACACGGGTTAGGCCTTTGTCCGGGAAGAGCATCCGGACATGACCTGTGCTCGGCTCTTCTCCTGAGTGGGAATGCCGAGCACGAAGGTTAGCCCTTCGTCCGGGAAGAGCATCCGGACACGACCTGTGCTCGACTCCTCTCCTGAGGGGGAGTGCCGAGCACGAAGGTTCGACCTTCGTCCGGGAAGAGCATCCGGACATTGTCTGTGCTCGGCTCTTCTACTGAGGAGCAGTACCGAATACAGAGGTTAGGCCTTTGTCCGGGAAGAGCATCCGGACACGCATGTTAGACCATTGCAAAAAATCCCACTTCATTGAATTCAATCATGGTGTTGCGGGTTCCCTTTCTCGGGCCCGTGTACATTCGAAATTCATTGATAAAACTTAACCAAGTTCTCAGCATTCCAGGTCCTTGGCACATCCCCTCCACTCGGCGTCTGCAGGCGGAATGTTGAGGGGCCTACCGCTTCTTTGATGATGTAGGGGCCTTCGTAATTCTTGGCAAATTTCCCACCTTCCAGGGGGCGGCTCACGGACCTCTTGCGCAGCACCCACTCTCCTTCGATGAACCCCCGTGCGCGCACACGCCCGTCATGGTAGCTCTTTACCTTCCTTCGGTAATTCTCCGCTCGTATGAAGGCCGCTTCTCGTCTCTCGTGCACGAGATGGAGCTCGGCTGCCAGGGCTTCGTCGTTACGCTCGGGGTCGAAGATCTCCTCCCTGTGAGTCGCGATGGAGATCTCTGCAGGGGCCCTCGCCTCGAACCCGTAGCATAAGGCGAAGGGGGTTTCTCCAGTCGCCCTTCTAGGCGTGGTCCGGTAGGTCCATAGGATGTACGGCAACTCCTCTGCCCACTCCCCTCCGCAGGCCTCCAATTTCCGTTTCAGCCCGTCGACTATCGTTCGGTTGGCATTCTCAACCTGGCCATTCGTTTGTGGGTAACCGACCGACGCATAGCTGTGTTTGATTCCCCAGCTCCCAAGGAAGTCGTTAAAGGGCTTGGACTCGAATTGTGTTCCATTGTCTGTGATTACGTGCTCGGGAACGCCGAAGCGGCAGATGACTTGCTTTGCGAGAAACTTCTGGCATTGAGCTCCGGTGATGCTTGCCAATGGGGCCGCTTCCACCCACTTGGTGAAGTAGTCAATGGCTACAATGACGTAGCGCACGTTCCCGGTACCTCTAGGAAGTGCACCCACGAGGTCCACCCCCCACCGCGCGAACGGGATAGCTGTGCTGATGGGGGTATAGTTTGTCGAAGGCCTCCCTGGTACCTTCTGGAACTCTTGGCACACCTTACACCTTCTCACAAACTCCGCGCAGTCCTTAACAATTGTTGGCCAAAAATATCCTTGGAGGGTTATCTTTCTTGACACCGCGTAGGCTCCTTGGTGGGCGGAGCAGATCCCCGCGTGCACCTCCTCCATGACTTGCTCCGCTTCAGCTGGTCGGAGGCACCTGAGCAGCGTACCGTTGTATGCTCGCTTGTATAGCTTTTCGCCCTCCAAAGTGTACCCAGGTGCCCTAGTCCGGACCAACTTGGCCTTTATTGCATCGTCCGGGAGGGCGCCATCCTTCAAGAAGGCGACTATGTCGTCCATCCAATCTCTTGGCCGAGCACAGATCATCGCCACGGGGAAGGCATGGATGCTCGGCTCGGATAACTCTTCCACGTTCGCCATCCGCCTGATGTGCTCGGGCGTGTCTGAGCTCAGCTTCGACAAGATATCCGCCTCGGCATTCTCCGCCCGAGGAATCTGCTCCACACTATACGCGGTGAAACTCTTAAGTAACTCTAGAGCGGTGTCTCTGTACTTCTTCATTCTTTCGTCCTTCGCCTCGAATTCTCCCGAGACAAGGCCAACCACCAGCTTTGAATCACACTTTACCCTTAGCTTTGTTGCGTTCATCCCGGCTGCTAGGTGTAGCCCGCCCAAGAGCGCTTCATATTCCGCTTCATTATTTGATGCCTTGAAACCGAATCGAATAGAGTAATATGCTCTGAAGCCTTCGGGCGCGATGACTACCACTCCACCCCCCGAGTTTCTGGCGGCGGAGGATCCGTCGGTAAAAACTATCCACCAGTTGTCGGTTTCCGGCTCCTCGGGGCTCGGCTCCTCCCGAGCGGTGCACTCCACCACGAAGTCAGCTAGCGCTTGGCCCTTGATCGCTGGCCTTGGCTTGAATTCGATCTGGAAAGCTCCAAGGAACACCGCCCTTTTGGACATGCGTTCGGGCGCGTTCGGGCTCCTGAGCAGCGCACCTATGGGTTGTTGGGAGAGCACTTGAACCGGGTGAGCTTGGAAGTAGGGTGTTAGCCGCTGCACAGTTGAAACCACTGCTAGGACCGTCTTTTCGGCTACTGAGTACCTGAGCTCGGCACCTCTCAGCGTCTTCGCCGTGTAATATACCGCGTGCTGAGCTCCACCTTCTTCTCGGACTAGGACTGAGCTTAGTGCATTGGGCGACACTCCCAAGTAAAGATATAAGGTTTCCCCGGGCTCGGGTTTAGCGAGGATCGGCGGAGAGAGGAGATAAGATTTCAGAGACTCAAAGGATTGCTGGCAGTCTTCCGTCCATACGAACCCTCGGGACTTCTTCACAGCTTGGAAGAATGGAGCGGCTCGATCCGCTACCTTGGAAAGGAAACGGCTGAGCGCAGCCAACTTTCCGGTCAAGCGCTGCACTTCCTTGACATTTCGTGGAGCTTCCATGTCAAGGATGGCGCGCACCTTCTCGGGGTTGGGCTCAATACCGCGCCTGCTCACCATGTGTCCCAAGAACTTACCGCCTTGAACTCCGAACGTGCACTTCTTCGGGTTCAGCCGAAGGTTATACTTCTCCATAATCATAAAAACTCCTTCTAAGTCTTCCGCATGGGTGGTTGCCTGCTTGCTTTTCACAATCATGTCGTCGACGTACGCCTCCATGCTCTTCCCGAGGACGGGCGCGAAGAGCTTGCTCACCATCCTAGCGTAGGTTGCCCCGGCGTTCTTGAGTCCAAAAGGCATCACCTTGTAGCAATAAACTCCGCCGGGGGTAGTGAAAGACGTCTTCTCTTCGTCTTCAGGGTGCATTCGGATTTGGTGGTAACCGCTGAAGGCGTCCATGAAACTCATGAGCTCGCAACCCGCCGTCTCATCCACCAGCTGGTCGATGTTCGGGAGTGGGAATGGATCCATGGGGCATGCCTTATTTAGGTCGGTGTAGTCCACACACATCCTCCATGTGTTTCCCTTCGGAGCCAACACCACGTTCGCCATCCATTCCGGGTACTTAACTTCTCTGATATGCCCAATTCTTTGGAGGGTGGTCACTTCCTTGGAGATGAACTCCCTCCGCTCGGATGAGAGGAAACGCTTCTTCTGCTTTACCGGCCTAGATTCCGGGTTGACCGCCAACCGGTGACATATGATCTTGGGGTCCACCCCCGGCATATCCCCAGGTCCCCATGCGAAGATCACGCGGTAGGCGGCGAGCACTTCCACCAAGCGCATCCGCTGGCTCGTCGTCAGGGTCGCCCCGACCTTAACCTTCCGCTCGGGCACTTGTGGGTCGAGCGGCACTTCCTCGACTTCCTCGGCGGGCTCGGCCGAAGGTCGAGCTTCCAGCTTGCGCATTCCCTCTTGCGCGTGTACGACCATTGTCTCATCCCTCGGCAACTTCTTCGTGATTCTTACGTAGCACGATTGGGCCAACTTTTGGTCTCCCCTTGCCACCCTGATGCCGGACGGAGTGGGGAACTTCATGCACAAGTAGTACGGGGAGATCACACATTCCAAGTCCTCAAGGCCGGGCCGCCCCAGGATCATGTTGTGCGTACAATTGATGCTCACAACCATAAACTCCATCTTCAGCTTCGCCTTGTGCGCACCATCCCCTACTATCACGGATACGGCGATAACTCCCTCGACCTCGATGGAGTCCCCCGTGAATCCGGAGAGAGGAGTGCGCACAGGCCTCAAGTCCTTGCGGTTCAAGCCGAGGTCTTGGAATGTTTTCTCGTACATTATATTGACTGAGCTTCCCGTGTCCACCAAGGTGCGGTGTACTATGGCGTCGTTGATCTCTATCTTTACGACCAAGGCATCCCAGTGGGGACTCGGCGTGTTTGGAAGATCCTTCTCCGTGAACTGGATTTGCTCTCGTCTTCCGAGCTTGGGCGCCGGCGCCTGATGGACCTTGGCGACAAAGGCCATGTGCTTCCACCTCTTCCTTTGAGAGGCGGAGTCCCCGCCGATGTTTCCTCCATGGATGAATCCCACCGGATATCCTCGGGCTTCGTCCTCGTCTAGATCATCATACTCTCGCCCAATGTGCCTCTTCTCGGGGTTCCTTACTTGCGTGGCCACCGCGACCGGTTCGGCCGGCTTTCTCCAAGTTCTTCCTTCCGGCGGCCCCCGAGATGGGGCTGCTCCATCATCACGGGGAGGCGGCCCTCGGGCGATGAGTCTCTGCATCTCCTTCTGGAGAGTGAAGCATTCCTTAGTGTTGTGAGTGTTGTTACGATGGTACTCGCAATACTTAGTTCCGCTGGACACCGCGTAAGTCTCTACGTGGGAGAGCGGGGAAAGGGCAAGCTCTCGACCCGCCCCCACGGGAGCGCCCACAGAGTATACTCCGGCCGAGGGCGTCCTCGGGCCCGCGGTATAGTCTTTCTTCTTCTTCCTCTTCTTCGCGGCCTCTCCCGAATCTACTGAAGTTCGCTTAGCCGGCGCGGCCTCGGATTCCATGGCGTCATCAAACTCCTCCGAGGCTAAGAACTTTGCGCGCGCCATGGTCTCTTGGTACGTGGGGGGAGGATTCTTGCGGAGCTCCT